TGAAAAGCAGTAGACCCAAAACACTGAGTGAAAACATGAGTCCCAGAAAGAGAGGATAAAGGGAGAAGACAAAACATTTAAAAATACGCTCTTTTAGCAATTGTATTGTAAAGGACCTTGCTTTAAACTTAATTTTTTGGTACCAAAAAATGTAGCTGACTTTTTGTATTTTGTTTTTGCATACTCTTGTAGAAACCATGCCTACAAGCAGTGGATAAGTATTCTAGTTGCAGCCCAGATGTGGTGGTGTACATCTGTAATCCTAACATTCTGGGAGGCTGAGGCAGGAGGATTGCAGGCTCCAGCCTACCCTGGAGAACTTAGCAACTTAGTGAGATCCTGTCTTAAAATAGAAAATAGAAATAGGGCAGGGGGTGTATCTCAGTGCAAAGGCCCTAGATTCAATCCCAGTCCCGGGGGAAAAAAAGAATTCTAGTTGCTCTGAAAACACACACCGGCAATTGATATTTCCTGTTTCTCCCTCCCTTGCTTGTTTTCTTTTAGTTTTGTCATTTGAATGGATGTGTAGAGTTATCATTTTTTTTTCCAGTACCGGGGATCAAACTCAGGATCTTCCAAGGCAGGCAGGACACCACTGAGCTAAATCCCTGGCCCCAGTCTTACTGTGGTTTTAATTTGCCTTTTCCTGAGACTAATTAAAAACATTTGTTTTTCCTTTTTGTCCAGTTGTTCACTTGACAAGGGGTCTGCCGATTTCTCTATTCTGTTGCTTGGTAGCTTGTCCTCTTATTATTGAATTTTCAGAGCTTTAAAATGTACTTTAGATACGAATTCTTGATCAGATATTTGCTTTGCAAATATGCTCTACCTGTTTATGGTCTTTTCCCCCATTCTTTTTATGGCGTCTTTTGGAGAGTCGAAGTTCTTAATTTTGCTGAAGCCCAATTTACTAGTTTCTCTTCGTGGATTGTGTTCTTTGTATTCTATTTACAAAAAATCTTTGCCTGACTCAAGGTCACAGCTATTTTTCCCAGTTTCTCCCCTCCCCCCGTAAAAGTTTTATAGTTTCGAGAACTTGCTTCAGCCTTCCGGAATGCTGGGATTCCAGACGCACTGTCAGACCTGGCTTAGTTCCAGCTTTGCTCTTCTTTCTCTTTTCCTTCCTTCCCTTTCCTTTCTCTCTCTGACTCTTTCTTTTGTCTTTCTTTCCCTCCCTCCCTCCTTCTTTCCTTCCTTTCTCCTTCCCTTTCCCAGTGAGTGTGGGTGTGTGTGTGAGCTTCCAGTGACAGAGGAAAGGGGAAGGGTCGAGAGTCCTCCTCTCCTACTGTGCTCTCCTACTGTGCTCTCCTTTGCTCTGCGGCCCAAACTAGACGCCCCGGGCGGTCCTTGCTCCCCTTCCAGAGGCAGCGCCCGGGGCCAGGCTGCACACTGCGCGACGGCTGCTCCTCCACGTTCGCGTGGTCACAGATCTTCTCGTCGTTCCTCGGGCCTACACAGCACTGGGGACTCCTGAAGGCCCTGTCTCCAGGTGCCGTCGCGCTGGAAGTGGGGCCTCCGCGTGTGAACGTCCCGGAGGACCAGTCTCTGTGCCTCAGCATCGCGCATCGGGCAGAGGAAGTGCCCCAGCCTCGCCCCTTTCCGGATTGTGTTGACAGGGCTCTTGTCCTGGCATAAAGTTTAGGTTCTGTTTGTTAATTTTTTTTTTTTTTTTGAGGCAGGGTCTCACTGTGTAGCTCAGGCTGCCTTGAACTCGAGGCAATCCTCCTGCCTCAGACTCCCAAGTGCTGGCACTACCGGCGTGTGCCAGCACGCCCGCTCTGTTTGTTAATCTTGACGAAAAACATTCTGTTGGGATTTTGATTGGAATTGATTTGAGCATGTAGACCATTTTGGCAAGACTTGACATTTTAATAATACTGAGTTTTCTAATTCATGAACAAGGTTGATGCATCCATTTACTTGATTTCTTTGATTTCTTTTTTTCTTTTTTTTTTTGTACCAGGGATCAAACTCGGGACCTTGAGCTTGCCAGGCGGGCATAGGAACCACTGAGCTAAATCCCCGGCCCCAACTTCTTTGATTTCTTCCACTAGCATCTTAGAGTTTTCAGGATAGTCTACTTATTTTTTACTACATTTAAACTGAAGTATTTCATGCTTTTCAGTATTCTTATAAAGGTTTTTATTTCAGTTTTCAATTGTTCATTGCTGAAATACAGAAATGAGATGAAATTTTGTTTATTGACCTTGTATCGTGTGACCTAGTTACTGTCTTATTAGTTCTGATAGGGCTTGTCTTTTTTAAATGCTTTGAGATGTTATCGTAAGAAATCATGTTGTCTGTGAATAAAGACAATTTTATTTCTCCTTTCCAATTTGTATGTCTTTTGGGCGTTTTCTTATCTCATTTTCCAAGACTTGGTGGTGTATGCAGACAGCCTTGTGCCTGATTTGAGTGGGAACACTTTCAGCTTTTCACTGTTAAAAATGAGGATAAGCTGGCCTTGCTGGCGTGTGTCCTAGCTACTTGGGAGGCTGAGGCAGGACGATCACTTGAGCTCAGGGGTTAGAGACCAGTCTGGGTCACAAAGGGATGCCCAAACTCAAAACAAACAAACAAATAAGCAAAAAAGCAAATAAATAAATAAGATGTTAGCTGTAAGTTTCTGTTGACGATGCCCCGGTTTGGAGTGGAAGAAATTGTCTTTTTTTGCCAGTTTGTTAAAAGTTTTTAAACAAATACAGAACTTTATAAACCATTTTTCTGCATATATGGGATGATAATAATATGGCTTTTCTCCTTTAGTGTGTCACTGTGGTAAATTACATTAATTTTCAAATGTTGAACAGCCTTTTATGCCTCGGATAATCTTGGTTTTGATATACTTTCTGTATCACTGGCTTGGATTTGCTACTATTTCCCTGAGGATTTTTTTTCCATTTATGTTCCTGTGGAATGTGAGCCTATAGATTTCTTTTCTTTTATGTTGCTACCTGGCTTTTGTATAGGGTAATTAATGCTGGCCTCCTACTGAGACATCAGCTTCCTTTCTCCTCTATGTTCTTGCAGAGTTTATGAAAGCAGGTTTTATTTCTCCCTTACCTACTTCCTAGAATTTGAATATTTAAAGCCATCTGGGTATGAAGATTTCTTTGTTATCAGGTTTTTTAAAGTATAAATACAATTTTTAAAGAGATATAGTACTTTTGTAGCTCTTTTTTCGTAAGTCTTTTCTTGGCTTTTTTGAGACAAAGTCTCACTATGTAGCCCAGGCTGGCCGGAAGCTTTCAAGATCCTCCTGCCTCAGCCTCCTGAGTACTGGGATTACAGGCATGTGTCACCATGTCTGGTTTTTCTTAAATCTTAAGTGAAGTTCAGTTCCTGGCACCAAAATAACAACAGTTGTGGTAATAATAATAATAATGATGAAAATAACAGGACCAGGATGAATGTGGAGCACACATCCCAGGCTTCCCTTCTATGCAGGATCCTAGTTCTGCCCATATTGGTTGCTCTGTGGCGCCTTCCAGCTGATGCTTTATGCATCTTGTTCAGCCCTTTTAGCTGTTTGCAGCAGGAGGGTTAGGGAAAAACAACCACTCTCTTAAGACCCCAACCGGAAGTCCTTGTAGAAATCAAAGGAGGGGTAAAAGCAAGAAGGCAGAACCAACCACTCCTCTGCCCTGGCTGGTGGCCAACGGGCTCGTGTGGCTCACTCGGGTTCCCTGAGCAAACTCCAGACTCCTGGACGCGTCAGGCCCAGCTGCCAGGAAATGAGTAGTCTGCATGTGGATGGGGAAGACATGGGCTTTGTACCTTCCACAGGAAAAGCAAGAGGGCGAGAGGAGAGAGGCATCATTCACCTGGACAGAGCACCATGCTCTGTGCCTATCATTATGCCTGGACCTAGCTCCTGAACAGACAGATATTTAAGGTAAAAATGAGAGAGGGAGAGACAGACTGACAGACACAGAATGAGCGACAGTCACATTGGGGTGACAGTCAGACATCAGCTGGCCAGTGCTTGTGAGCAGGCTCACTCAACACTGCTGTTTTATTTTCCTGAAGATCTGATAGTAGGATCTTCTACTCTCCCACAATTACAAGATCATTTACAATTTTCCAGATTATTTCTTCTACTTGAAATTATTTAATTTTCACCATAACCTTGTGAGATAGCATCGGACAGAACAGGACAGGAAAGACAGAAGGGGGCCAGGGAGACAACCTAGCCCCGGGACCCAATGTATACTTGCTCTGGGAGGGGTTGTGTGTGTGTATGTGTGTGTGTGTTTGTGCGCGTGTGTGCGCATAAGGAACTAGAGAATAGAAAAAGATGTCCTCATTTTGTTGATTGGACTCATCTGATACCAAATAATCCAAGCCAGAGTCCTGTGGCGATGCTGGTGTGTGCACTTCTTTTGCAAATATTTATCGATTTCCTAATAACGAGTCAGCCCTGAGCCAGGGAGATCAGCAGGGAGCGGGCCAGAGATAAGGTGCACCTGGACGTCCCCGTGTGGTGGGATGAGTTCTGCAAGGATGTGGCAAGGTAGGAGCGCAGGGGCCGGGTCTGGGTCTCGTCTGGCGTCACCGAGCATCTCCCGGAAGAGGCAGCCTTGCGACAGAGGTTCCTAGGTAGGTGAATCAGGGCGGAGCATCCAGACAGCTGCCTGAGTGCTTAGCAAATACTCACAATGTTGGTTGAATGGATTGCTAGAGGAATTCCCAGCACAGTTTTTGGGCACTGAATCATGGACAGTTCTGCTTTCTGCTGTTTTCTAGGGAATGTCTTTCCATGCAAAACAGTTAAATTTCGGAAAGCAGAGACTCTCTCTTATCTACCACCCAGATCCTAGACCTGAGGTGCATGTTAGAAGTTGCTGGAGAAGACTTAGACCTGCTGGGCAGACTTGAATAACTACAAATCATTAACTCGAGTCTCCCTGCGCCTGTAAAGCAAAGCAGCAGGTGAAGGAGGAGGGGACAAGACGAGGACCCAACCAATGACGAGTCCCCATCCCATCTGCACACCCCAGGGTTTCTTCAGTCCGGCCCGGAGGAGCCTGAGGAATCCACACCCGGGGGTAAGCAAGGGTCAAGGACAGCTGGGACCCAGATTTGCCAGTTTTCTTTATAGGTCAGGGCGAGACAAGATTCAGGTAGTGCTGCTCCCATATGAGGAGGCCCTCATTTACACCCTAAAAGCCGACTACCAATGCTTAGTGAACTTACAGTTGGAATGCTGGAAGAGATCGCATTTTTTTAAGAAGCAATTTCATAAGGAAGGAAAGTTTCTGCCGAGTAAGGAGATGGCTCAAGACGAACCATGTCCTAAACGCGACCGATCCGGTGTTAGGGTTGCTTATCACGAGGCTCAGATGTTTGCGTTTCTTTCATTTGTTTTAAAACTTCTATTCGCTGTGTTCGCTGATGTTTGTGCAGATTGTTCTAGGCACAGGCATCCTTATTTAACCACGAGGGCCTCTCTCCAATGCTCCCAAAATGATGCTCACTCCGTGCACCTTGTAGTCAGGCCGCTAAAGGCCTGGTTGTCTGTTTTGTCGGCAGTATTTTGGGACCTGGGGTTCTCTCAGCTCTCTTTCCTGTCTCCTTCTTAGCCAGCCCGGTGCAGAGGGGCTTCTCCCGGGAAAGAGGAGCAGTTATGGCTCAACACTTCCTTTTTTTATTGTTGGTTTTGTTTTTTGAGACAAGGTCTCACGTATAGTTCAGGTTGGCCTCAAACTCATGGTGAGCCTCCTGCCTCAGCCTCCCGAAGACTGGGATTATAGGCTTGACCCATCACACCCGGCAGGATCCTTTCTGTGAGGATGTAAACAGTGCCATTTTTTTGTTTTTTGGGGTTTTTTTTAGTGACACGGTCTTGCTATGTAATTCAGGATGGGCTTGAATTCACTATGTAGCCAAGGCTGGCCTTGAACTTGCGCTATCCTCCTGCCTCCCCAAGCGCTGAGATCACAACCAGCCCATTCCTGTTCTTAAAGGATTTGAGTTTTGCGTTCCCAGCCAGTAGGTGGCCCTAGAAATTCTCGCCACGCCCACAGGACAGAATGGTCTGTCTTTCAGCCCCCGCCCTGAATTGTTTCTCAGATGAGGACGGAAGATGGACCAGGCCAGTGGAGCAGAGGCCCTTACTCTGTCCAGGGTGGAACGCGGCGTGGAGAACCAGGGTCTGGAGCTCACGGTAATCCACCAGGGTCTCCGCCCCGTGGGGTGGCTGCCCCGCCGCAGGCCCCTGGCGGCTCCTGATCCCCGTGGCGAGGGACGGACCCCGTGACTGGCCCTGTGACTGACCCCGGCTCTACGTGTGCTCACAGGAAGACGGCGCAGATCCCGGGGGAAGCCAGAAGACCACGGTGCCAGGGCCTCAGCAGAGGTACGGAGGTCCCAGAGTCCATTCCACTTAGGGCCTCGGGGGTCTGGGGGCGCCGAGCGAGAGAAGATCGCAGGAGCCCAGGTCTTATTTGGAGATGAGACCACAACTGTATATATATTTATATTATATATATTTGTTACCTCTGCTATCCCAGCACTCCGGAGGCTGAGGCAGGAGGGTTATGAGTTTGAAGCCAGCCTGGGGTTTACAGTGAGTTCAAAGTCAGCCCAGACTGCATAGCAAGATGCTGTCTCAAAAAACCAAAACTGGGCCAGGGATTTAGCTCAGTGGTACCACTACCTGCCTTGAAAGCGCAAGGTTCTGAGTTCGAACCCCAGTGCCAAACCCCTCCCCCCAAAAAAACTCAGAACCAAAATAACAAAACAATTCGCCTAAAACAAGCAAAACCCTGTGCCCTAAACAAGCTCATTAGCGTTAGATGGATGAGTAGCAGCAAGGATAGTAATGTGACAGCTTTGAGTGCTTACTGTTGTGTAGTGTAATTGAATTTTTTAGAAGAGGTGTTACTAATTTTAACACCTTTCATTAAATTAGAAAATAGAAGCTTAGAAATTAACTTTCCCATATCAATTTTTTTTTAAAAAAAGATTTTCTGGAATATTTTCTGAAAATGGGGGGAAAAGACAATCAATGGGAAAAAGACAAAAGGATGTGAATCAGAGTTAGGAAGCTGAGGCAGGCAGATCTGTCTTGGAAATCAACAGAGGGTCTCAAGAATAAAGGCAGGGGGCCGAGGATTTAGCTCAGTGGTTCCGCTGCCTGCCTCGCAAGCACAAGGACCCGAGTTCGATCCCTGGTACCAAAAAAAAAAAAAAGGATGTGTGTCTGTAACACAGAGCTGCTCCCAAACATTTTATTTTTACTCTTTATTTTTAAGAATTATCCAAGTGACTTCTTATAAGCTTCCAAATTCTGTTTTCTTCTCCACAGTGTTTCTCTGTATACAATTTTATGTAAAAAATCAATTGCTATATTTTAATGTGAACATTACCACTATTTTTGGTTTCTACTTTTTTATATTTAACAGTCTATGAATTGACAATAAACACGTCATCAATTTTTCATGCTTATATAATATTCCATACTTTGGCTGGGCATAGTGGCACATGCCTGTAATCCCAGGACTTTGGGAAGCTGAGACAGGAGAATTGCATGTTTGAGCCCAGCTGGGGCAACTTAGTAACATAGTGAGACTCTATCACAAAATAAGATAAAGTAAAATAGGTGGGGATATAGCTCAGTGTGAAGGCACTTACTCAACTCCAGGATTCGAGTGGGAAGGAAGCCACAGGTAACGCTGAACACGCGGGCATGGCTGTTTGAATAAAACTTTATTTATAAAATGGAAGGCGATGGACTTGACCCTCCAGTCCCGTGCGCTGACCATTGGTCTACAGGGAATGATAACCCAGGCCTAATGTGTAACATGTGCCTGCCGTGTAAATACTCCCAGACCGGCTGATTTCAGGTTGTGGAGAGAGAAAGAGGCGGGCAGAGAGACAAAAGGAGGGATGCGCTGGCTGGGGACATGTAGGATGTCCTAAGGAGTCTGGTCTTCTACTAGGGAGCTGAACGGGTTTTAGAGAGGAAAGGAAAGGAGGCACTTTCCAAAAAGAACTGTCAGGATTGACGATGAATTCTAGGCCAGGGCTCCTAGGGCAGTCACAGCCTGGCCTTCCGCCTCCCAACACAGGATGATTCCATCTCCTCTGTTTCCATCTCTTTCTCAGCTGGCCCATTTCTCCCCAGCAACACAGTAAAACAACCATTCAGGGCAGGTTTGAGAGCTTAGAAGAGTTTGCTGGTGGTGCTGGGTGCTTGTTTCTAGGTTGCAGTGAACCTGAGGACATCGGGGGTTGAGAGGGAGGAAGAGAGAGAAAGAGAGAGGGGTGGATGAGAGGAAGGGTCCATAAGAACAGCACCCTCAGAACCAAGCCCGAGGGATTACTGGGGAAGGGTTGTGACCACAAGCGGCAGGATGATGCTGGAGAATGAGGAAGGACAAGGGCCCTAGGCAGAGAGGCGGACTCTCCATAAAGCCGGGGGTGGCAGGGAGAGAATGCAGAAAACTAGGCCGCTTCTGTGTGTCCTGAGGACAGGCCGGAGGGAGCCTGTCCTGGGGCCAGGAATCCAGTCCTAAATGTGGGCCTGGCCCTGGGAGAGAGAGACGCACTTTTCCCTCGTCTGTCTTCCAACTCCCCTCCTGCCAGTGTTTGACTGGAAAGGAAGGGGTGCCAAATGAAAATACTCGTTGACATGAATGGCTTATCATTTGAGCTAATTACCGGGAAAGACAATGGGGACCACAGGAATTTCCAGGGAAGGCCTGAATTCAAACGGAGCCCAGTGAAGCAATCACAGCTCACAACAGTAGAGCGGAACCCTGGCCCCAGACTGGCGTCCGAAGCCTTCTTGGCTGCCTGGCTCTTGTCTTCTGCACTGTGATGCTTCTGCTGGTTTTCCTTTAGCAGTTATTTTAAAACTAACATTCTTGTTCAATCCCCAGCATTGCCAATAAATAAATAAATGAACATTTTCAAATTTCCAGTCCCACTTATTCTACTTTTCTTACCATTTCCACGACCATCCCTGCTGCTAATTAGTATATAATCCAATTTCCTTCCTTCCCCTCCCTCTTTTCCTCCTTCCCTCCTGTCTTTCTCTCTTTTCTTTTGGTGGTGCTGTGGATTGAACCTGGGGCCTTCACACAGAGCTACAGCCCCAGACCTTTTTCTGTTTTGTATTTTGAGACGGTCTTGCTAGGTCACTCAGTTGCCTAGGCTGGGCTCAAACTTGTGATCCTCCTGCCTCAGCCTCCCAGAGTGCTGGGATCACAGGTGTGACCACCTCTCCGATGTCATTTCTTTCTAGAAGATCAACTGTTGTTTTTTTCCTGTCATCAATTTCCTCATTCATCATGCCAACACCACTTATAATATTACCTTATAATTTGCTTTGTCTGTCCTTTTTTTCTTTGTCTCTCAGAAAAAGAAGTCTCTCTTGCTTTTTTTAGCAAATCTGCCAGTTTCTGCTTTTTAATTGGACTGTTTAGGCCACTTATATTTAATGGATTAATCCTGTCATCTTGATGTTTGTTTCTTGTTTCATCTGCCCTTTGTTCATCTTTGCCTCTTTTTATGCCTTCTTTCACATTAACTGAATATTTTTAAATGACTTCATCATATCTTTTTTTGTTGGCTATTAGCCATAACCTTTGTTTTATTAGTGGTTGCTTTAGGGTTTGTAGTTACTTCTTTAATTTACCAAGTCTACCTCAAATGTTACTATACCCATTACCATAGAGCAGTGGTGGCAAACCTATGGCACACGTGCCACCGTGGGCTGTTTGTATCACTGGAAGCTCTAAAAGGTTCGACATCACTCCCATAGCATCTAAGAACCTTATAATAGTGTACTTCTAGCTCTTCTCTTCTAGCCTTCACCCTACAGTTGCCATACCTTTTACTTCCTGTGTATATCATACATGCTATACTACACTATTATTATTTATTAGATACATTATCTTCCCATCTCCTCCAATTTAAATATATCTATGCCTGCATGAATGTTTATCTTTCCCTTTCTTTATCAAACTGTGCTCCCTGTTTGAATCAGAAACAATCCCCCCCCCC